TCTCTGGAAAAGACGTGGATGCCCTCCTCATCCTAATTATCAAAAAAACCAATTTATGCAAGGTGATGCTAATATGTTTTATTTTGCAAGGATTAGAGATTACATTTAATTTATGTGGAAGTTTGGTCACCGCATGGCATTTTAGGCAAGTCAATCTGCAAGTATGTTGCATGTAGCTTCAAGAAAGCCCATGTTTGTACCAAATTATAGAACCCCCCCCCCCCCCTGTTATTTTGCTTCTTAGACACCATATAATTGTTTTATCTTTAATCCCCCCCCCCCCCCCCCCCCCACAAAAAAAAATAGACTTTCTGTGTTAGAAAGTGAATTTATCCTTTATTAGTTTTAAGGGAAAATGACTTACAAACCCAACGAAGTTTTCAAACCGTTTAAAAAACCCGAATCATATTTTGTGTGTTCAAAAAAACCCAACAAACATAACATTTTATCTAAAAAGCACAACTAAGTTACACTTTCTCGAAAGTCAAATAATAGAAACAGATGACGTGGTTTATTACCGTATCGGAAAAATGACTTGTTAGACCAACGAAGTTTCTAAAACGTTTAAAAAACTCCAATCATGTTTTGGCTGTTCAAAAAAAAAAAACCCAACGAACTTAAACAAAACAATATTGGAATTTTCTAGACGGTTTGAAACTTTGATGGACTTTTTAGACAAAAGGTTAAGTTCGTTGAGTTTTTTTGAACAGACAAAACATTATTGGAGTTTTTTGAATGGTTTGGAAACTTCGTTGGGCTTTTAAGTTATTTTCCCTTAGTTTTAACTTTTAACATGCAATACGAAATCCTTTTTCTATGCTTTTGTATTCTATTAATCACCATCTTCCTTTTTATTTCTACATAATAGGTCTCAAGGCCACAACCATGGGTCATGCCTTTAAAATGGTTTTGATCATTTAAATATAACAGATTTACTATATTGTAAATTGTAGGGTTCTTTAGAGGTAAGTAAAATGGGAATAAGTACAGAAACTGAGAATAAACATAATGTAAATGATGCATCTTAAAAGACTCACCTGTCAACAGCCTTATCAGCATCATGTTCTTGATCAAAATGAAATAGGATTCTTCATTGATTGAAATGCTAAAAACATAAAAGTGAGGGAAAAACACCATTAAAGAGTGAGAATGCTTACCCTTTCAAGCTGCTAAAGAAGGGCAGTTTTGAAGTCGGATCGAACTTATGACCTTTCTCAAATGCATAAGTCGACCTGTAGAAAAAGTGAAAAACCATGATTATGGCATCATTTGTCTAAAAGACTATAATGGTTGAAAAAAATATTACAACTTTTGGCAAAATAATAAACTGTTTTTCAACTCATTTCCACTACAGCTAACCCACATTGATCAAACACCCATCAGATTATGCATAAAACTATCAAGAGCTAGCAATATTTGGTGATTCATCCTAAGAGGCTAAATCGAACAAGTTTTCATATAAAAAAGGGTTGTGTTCTTAAAACTCAAAAAATACATTCTAACGTTGCATTGAAATGCACTATATAATAAGATCTGTGAACAGTTTCAGTAGGTGCCAAAGTTTACGAGTGAAACTTACAAATAACAAACAACCAACAATCAAACCAAAAACGAGGAAGATGAACTTATTTTCCTAGATTCGATCAAAATACAATCAAAATTACTTGTGTGCGAGTGTAACGATAGATTGATAAATTCAAAACAAACATCATCATTCAATAGGATATGTAGAACATAAGTTTAGATCAAGAGAATAAAGAGTAGCGAACCCGATACTTACCTGATGGAAAACCGAGAAGATTAAGGAAGATGAGATACGATCATAGAAGCGAAGAATAAAGAAAGGTTTAAGGTTGAAGGAGGACTAATGGTGGAATGGGAATTGGATTTTTTCCTCATTTCTTTATTCTGATGAGTAGAAAGAGTCGCGATTTAGTCGCCGGAAATAGCCTCTACAGTGTAGCAACAAACGTCGGAGATAGGTGGTGATGCTTGAAAGGAGGTATCGAAGGGTAACGTGGTTAAAGACATCGATTAAATTGACAAAGAAAACTTATATAGCAGATTCGGATCTCCTGCGTGTGGGTTAATAATGGAGGTGGACATGGATATGATGAGTGGAAAGAAATGATGGAAACACATGGGGATGTCTTGAAGTCTTTGTTTTTGTTCGCTTTAGTATATTTATTTAGATATGTAATAAAAATATACATCTAAATTATGTTTTAACTTTTTCATATACAAATATACATTATAATTAGTAATATTTTATATGTGATGTTTATTTATTTACAATTATTTTATGATAACAAAAAAGTAATGCAAACTTCAAGGTAATTTGATAATTGTAACATTTTGTTCGATCGTATTCTAATGGTATCAAACATCAATTCAGTTTTGTTTAATCTAGTTATCTCCAAACAAACACTACCTAAGCTACTTAGAAATGAGAGTGCCTAGGAGTCTTTGTATCTCTCACACACCAAACGTGAAAAATATAAGTGAGAGTTTAGAGAAAGGGAACAATTACGAGAAAGTAATGGATATATGTTTTACCCTGTTATTGGCTTATTTAAATAAATAAATAAATAAAAAAAACAACAACAACTAGTTGCATGATTTATTTATGAAAATATTAGGATAATGGTTAATTGTTTAGAAACGAAATGAAGTTTGTCCATTAAAATCAAATTATTGATCATATATGTAATGTATAATAAACAATAAATATGAATAAAAGGTTTTATTATATCTGATTTTATCATTTTTCACCTTCTATATACGCCATATGAGACCATAAGTTATTGCTACATTATTCTTGTGTTAATTTTGGGAAATTGCCCAAGATAGTACAATCTCATACTATTGTGGTGTAAACTCGTTGTTGTACACTTGGTGCAAGGATAGGGGAAATCAAAGTAAAATTAATGTACGTGGAGTGATTTGTGTTGTTCCCATTTCCTTATTTTGTAAAATTCTTTTGGTAAACCTTGTTGTTTGCCTCATCTAGCTCCTTGCTACATGTGGCTCTTTTTATATATTATATTATTATTCATCCTTTCCAAACAAAATTATTTTTAAGTTTTTTATTACAAAAAGCATGTCGACATTCTGTGCAGACAAGATGGGCGAGTTTGAGTATTTCTATGGTAGTTTTTTTTAAGTTTTTTACTATTTTAAAAAGTTTTTGAAAATATTTTTACCATTAGAAAATAATTTTTCTCCTAAAGTCGCTCCAAACAATTATCATATATTAACTGTTTAATACTTTTCATGTGTTTGTCACATTTGATCCCTATATTAAATAACATTATATTTTATATCTCAATGATATTTAGATGTTCTTTTTTATTTATTAACCAATTTATTTAATAAAAAAACAAAAATAAATATATTTTATAAAAAAAGTTATATAATTTAAAAATAGTTGTCAAAACTGTGACAATTAAAAAATATCAAATATTATAAAACATCGTGGTTACATAATATTTTATCGTTTTTATAGTTTAATAATTTTTTTATAGTTTCGGAAAGAAAACGAATGATAAATTATAAACTATACAAATGGTTTAATAAATTTTTAATATAAATAAATGATAAATTAGTTAAAATGGGGAAAAAACTTTTTAAGATGTTAAAGAAAATGTATTTACTAAAACTTTTTTATTAAATGAAAGTTACTGAAAAAAATTATATGGTAAATAATAAGTCAGATTAACCATTAAATATGTTCTTAAATGATGTGGAGATATGTCTTCAAAATGTCAAAGTAACAATAGTTAAGAGACTGAAGTTGTAAATGTGTTAGTGGATTATGAATTGACATTATTTGATGGGACATGTACGATCATTATCACACAAAACATTCAATCATAACTGTCGACAACTTAATGAGATGAATTGAATCGTAAACTACTTTTTGTTAAGATGTTAGGTAAATGTTTTTCAATCAATACGAGAGAAAAATGATTCGATTTGAAGACCACTTAATGTTTATTTATATATATATATATATATATATATATATATATATATATATATATATATATATATATATATATATATATATATATATATATATACTAGAAAATTTTGAGATTCGTGCTAAGCACGTCCATGAATGAATGGTATTTTTGGTATTTCCTGGAAAAATCATAAGATTACCCTGATAAACCATATTCAAAGTCTCAAACAAACACAATGCATGTTAAATGCAACAAATAGCAATGAACTTTCATTGATAGTTTTTCATACTTGATTATTTTGATAAAAATAAAGGAACAATGATATTATTGGAAGCTCTCTTGATGAAGTACAAAAGGGGAGATGTGTTAGGATGCCTCGTATGGTAAAAAAAAATAATGGACCAACATGTTACTTCAACAAATAAAATATCAAATTTAACACTCAAGAAAATGAAACAAAGTAAATTTCTTTAGTGGCGTTGCTTTGATATGAATTTCATTTTCTTTAGTGGCGTTGCTTTGATATGAAAATAGCATATAAAGTGGAACACATAAATGTTTGCCTAATGGCCATTGGGATTATACCTGAAATACCCTTTCTAAAGTTGGTTTAAAATAGATTATCTCAGGTACATAGGTATGCCTCCATCATCTATTGTTTTAATTGTAATGAAATGACTCTACATTGGAAAAAACTACTCGTAACATCACAAGAAAACATATTTTCAAGATGCACGTGATTTTGCTTAGGATTAAATGCAGAAAATAGCAAAATGTTTGCATTTCATTGCTTATTATAGCATTATACTTTTATTTTTTCCTATAAAAGCATTGTATTTAAAAATCAATACATTCACTGCTATATTTTAATAAAATTTCAAAGTACAATGTCCAAATTAAATAAATAAAAGTACAATCTTGTAATTGGGTTCTCAAAGTACAATTTGTTAATAAGAAAAGAAAATAAATACAATGTGGTAATAGAAAGAAATTAAAGTAAATTTCTACAATAAACAAATAAATAAAAGTTTGTTGCTATTTGGTTGCATTATGCCCATTCAAAGTCAAGGACCCATATCAAAAATACCCATAGGAAGAAAGAAAACATTTCACAAAATATTTATACTCTATATTAATGAAAAAAATTAAAAAAATACAGAAAAATAAGGAAAAATAGATTACTCAACATCTACAGTTGTCTCTTCCAAGTAAGGTTGTTGAGGAGGGGCAGCATAGCCAAGTTTGTAATGTATCATGAAGTAAAAAAAAAACTGAACTTTTTAAAGTTATTGCTACTTGAAATAATGCATATTTAGTCATTATAAAAACTTATAAAACGACGAGGATTTTATATATACTTGATAACAAAAGCATACCTAACGGCGTATCTCACAATTTATGTCACCATTTCCGTTGCATTGTTATTGAGCACGCTTCCTGTTAACATATTACATAAAGTATAAACTTATTTAATATCTTAAAATTTCATATAAAACAAAATGAAATAATTACCACAAACGGTAAATCCATAAAAGATAAAGTAATCTAAACAGATTTTAAGTTTATTTTTATTGAAAAACACATTTACTCATTTATAAATCTTGTATATTTTTTGAAAAACTCTTTATAAACTCAAAAATATAATCATGTGTATGTGGTTATGAGTTTTCACTTATTACCATAAATGAAATTAACTTTTACAATTCAAATCTCAATTTATGCACATGAGTTTATTCTTTTTTTAATTACTAGTATCCACATATTTTATGCTATGATTGTAAACATCACAATAAAAATGAACAGTCAAGTTTTATATATCATCTCTTTTTGCAAAAACTTATGAATGTGATGGATTAATATAAAAACTTACCCATAATCCACCGAAATTACACATTCTGACAAATAATTATATTATGATATTTCTAAAATAACAATATAAGACATATTCCAAACAAAAACCATCAATTAGTTCCATTTCTAAACCATGTATTTTCTTAAATCTTCTTGTGTATTTCTTCCCTTCTCATACCCAGCAAAGATTTTAACAGATTGATTTTCTCTAATCTTATAAACACAAATTATATACATCTTCCCCAAACCAAACGCGATCATATTTGATTCCAATACATAACTGCATGTTACTATGTTGGCAAAAATCACCAATAAAACGTGAAGTTGTAACATCTTGAATGCAAGACAGGATAATTTCCAAACCATATGCAAACACATGTATACAAAATAATCATGAACTTGGTGCGTAACTGGAACTGAAGGGTGCAAATGACTCATGTTTTCAGGTAGATATGACAACATTAATTGACATAAATTTACTTATACAACTACTATCGTGTAACCACATTTCATCGACTACCTTTAGGGTACACCCAAAAATCATCACACTTTCAGTAGATGGTCCCAACTCCCAACCTATATCCAAAATTAAAAACATGTACACCAAACTCATTCTGAAAGGGTGTGATGGATCACCATTAATCAAAATATAATATATCAAAATGCATGCTAGTTAATATAATAGGATTATGGTACCTGTGCATCTATCTCAAGATCTTCAAAAAAACAGGGGTGCTATGAAACATGGGGAAAGACATGAAATGAGAGCACTGAAAGCCTATTGTTCTTGGTCTACCACTAACGGGAGGGAAGATGGAACAATTCGTAAGGGAGATAATTCGAAGAAAAGCGATTGTGGAGAAAGAGGAAAATAAGAGATGCGTGTTGTGGTATGGGCAAAAAAAAAAAAAAAGGAGGGAAGAACAAGTGGAGGGAAAAAATACATGCTCTGTTGATAGTGAAAGAAAAAGGGATTCATTTTGAACCCACCTTGACCGATATCAGAGAACATTAAGCAACAAAACCTAGTGTTTTCATAACCTGCAACCAAAAATCAAAAAGAAAAATGTAAAAATTAACTAATATGATTTTAATAGTATAAAAAAGAAGACAGAAGTACAACCACCGATCATTGTCGAAAAGAAATGAAGTTTGCTTACTGACCTTTGTGAGGCCTAGCGAGTTTTGTGGTTGGAAATGTGGAAGATGAAGATCAAAAATCAAATATGAAATTCATTGATTATAGGGTTCCTTTTCAGATCTTAAGGTTCTTGATAATCATTTAAGCACCACGATATCAAACTACCATTTGAGATATCTTGATCTCTATATATAGGTTCCAAACTAAAAGCCACACCCATTGAAGTTATCGGCATAAGACGGTTCCAACTTATGGGGTGAGAAAAGTGGAGGTCTTGACGATGGAGAAGCTAAAGGGAAACGCAGAAAAGGGAGTGGTTGTGTGGTGTTTTGGGTGAAATTAAACACAATAACCGCCGTAAGAGAACATGAGGCGGTGGGAATCGATACTTCCATGAGCCATGGCGTCGTTTAGAGGGTAGTTGACGTGGCGCCTTAGCAACTCTTAAAATGTGGTGTTGGCGGGATGATAAAAATAAGGTTTTTATATATAATAATGAAATGATAACGAAATGAATATATATATATAATATATATATATATTATATATATATATATATATATATATATATATTATATATATAATATATATATATATATATATATATATATATAGGTAAAGTGAATATATCTAACTAGGGGTGCAAACGAGCTGAGCCGAGCCCAAGCCTGGTCAGGCTCGGCTCGGCTCGGGCTCGTTTAAGTTATATGAGGCTCGAGCTCGGCTCGATTCGAGCTTTCTTGTACTGAGCTCAGCTCGAGCTCGTAAAGAATTATCCAAGCTCGGCTCAGGCTCGGGATCGACTCGTTTTTTATCTGACGTGCCTAAATAAGCTTAAGCTCGGCTCAAGCTCGTTAAGAAGCTCGTTTACTAATACCCTAAATCCGTAATTCCTCTAATATATTTTTATTTTAATATATATATAAATAATAATAAATTATATTATATAAAGGCTCGTTTAGGCTCGCGAGCCTAATTGAGCTTAATGACATAGGCTCGAGCTCGAGCTCGTTTAATAAACGAGCTTAATATTAAGCTCGAGCTTGGCTCGGCCTCGTTTAAAATCGATTTCGAGTCGAGCTTTTAACGATCCGATCCCGAGTAGCTCGTGAGTAGTTTGGCTCGTTTGCACCCTTATATCTAACAGGCTTATATAAGCTTAGGTACCTAACCACATTATATTACATTGTTTTGCATTATATTTTCATTACAATCGTCTAAGGTTCTTAAACTTCAACCCTTAACTTGATTTACTTCCAAGATTTTCAGACATTCACCATTATATTCTTCCTACATCATTTGATTTGTAACGGTAGTATATGAAGCCCACCAGGGGGTCTTCGATAGAAAAACGTCATTTGAAGGAAGATAATGGTGAAAATCCAAAGATTTTGGAAGCAATCATATTATAAGGTTGAATTTTAAGAACTTTGGGTGATTACAATGCAAATATGATACAAAATTACGTAATATGATGTGGTTAGGTACCTAAACTTATATAAGGTTGTTAGATAAATTCACTTTACCATATATATATATATATATATATATATATATATATATATATATATATATATATATATATATATATAATATTATATATATATATATATATAGAGCATGGCTCTAGAATCTAACGAAAGTGGGGTTGATGGGGAGGTTTAGGAATTATGTTTGATTCTTTTAGGAATTCTAAGGATTTTTCAACAAATTTTGTGGGATTTTAGAGTGCACTCAGCGCGTGTTTTTAAAGGTATTTTTTTGTTTTTTCTTTAAAGGTGGTATTATGTCATCCCTCATTTAGACTCAATTGTTCCAAAGCTTCTTCAACAAGGAATTCCACTTATCTATCCTCTCTTTTGATGAAAACTTCATCAACTAAAAAAACAGGTACTTTTATTTATTTATTATTGTAGACCAACGTGTTTTTTACTTTTATTTATTTATTATTGTAGACCAATGTGTCTTAACATAGCTTGAATTAATCATCAGAACCAGTGCTTTAACTCTAACACCTGTAGTAGTCCACCACCGCTTCTATCTCCCTTCTCTCCATAGCTTCGATTTTACATATACTATATTTTACATCGACTTCAGTCTTCCTCTTTTTTCTCTCTACAAGACGATTTCAAGAACACGAGTCTAGCTTCTTTCCTACTACCATCGCTCCTAATACACGGCTATAGAAATTCTTGTCACCAATTTTTGAAGAGTTCGTCAAAGCGCTGAAAATGGACAAAGAAAAAGACAAATTCTCATCTATACAAGAGAATTTATGAAGTTTGATTTACAATTGAATTTCAATCTAAAATAGATAAAAATGATTATTTCTTTGATTACAGAAATAAGAAAGAAAATAAGAAAGAAATAATATGCTTTTTTTTTTCTGTTAATGGAAAAATCTAGAAATACTAGATAATAGTAGAGGGGTGGATGTAGCCAAGTGGATCAAGGCAGTGAATTGTGAATCCACCATGCGCGGGTTCAATTCCTATCGTTCGCTCAAATTTAATTTAATTTTTTTAACAAATTATTCGATACAAACGGATTTTTTTTAGTGAACGTATCACAGCTTCCTCCTATTTTTTTTTGTTTTGTAAATACGAAGAAAGAAATTCTATTTTCTCTCCTATTTACTACGGTGACGAAGAATCAAATTATCACTATATTTATTCCTTTTTCTATTTTTTTTTCAAGTGCAGGATAACCTCAAGGGGTTGTGGGTTGTTTTCTACCAATTGGAGCCCTCCTTTCACCACCCCATGTGGATGGTCTATAAGGTTCATAACTACTCTTCTTAGTACAAGGCGCTTACCTAGCCAACTTTTACATCCAGCTCTACCCAAACTTTTCTGGTTCACCCCAATATACCCTCGTTGCTCTAGATTCTAAGGAAAAGTGGATGAGCTGAGGCATTAACAATTTAGCAAGTCTTTTTGTGGGAATTTCTCTGGATTTTTGCTGAATTTTGCTCGTTGGGTCGGGTTTAAAGTGGATGGTCCATGGATTGCGTGAAGGACAATCTGTCAATCACTCACACTACTGTTTCCTTGATGAGTCATCGGGACAACTGCATCCTTCTCATTCTCTCCTTAATTATACACACGTCCAGGTTGTCTTTCCCACTACACCAGTAGCTTTCCAAATACATTACTATTTAAAGCTCTCCTTTTCTGTCACCCATACCACACGATATCCTCTTCCTGTTAGTTTCTCTACACATGCAGATGGAGACCATCACACACCTCATACATCTCTTCTCTACAATGGTAAATTCTATTTTATTTATGGCGGCTTTTCCCCTGTATTTATGTTTCTATGACAATAAGCAGAGAATTTTGTATTATTGTGGAATTTTCTTGTAGCTGTTGAAGACATCATTTATAAGAACTTAACCAAACAAGTTGTAGAAATAACCCCTTCAATTATGGTACATTCTAATATACATACTAACATTTACATACACCTCAAATTTGTTTCTTTCTTTTTCAAAACCTCCAAAAGGGAAAAAAGATGACTTCTATGAAAGGATTAATGGTTTGATGTATTTTACCTACCATTTGCTGAAAGATTGAGAGACTTGTTTATTCTGAATTTCCCCAAAGTTGTTTGATAAAATTTCATGCATTGTTTAAAGGGTAAACCTGTTAGCATCTTCCCATTTTTTTTCCCCATCTATTTTGGTTTTTGATTTCGTAAACGGTGACAAAAATTAAAAATATGAACGTTTTTTTTTTTTTTCAGGTTCAAATTCTTCATTTTTCATCTCTCATGAAAATATTCTGCCTTTGCAGGTTTGAATTGAGGCTTACCCACTTCTATTGTTGCAGATTTGAAGATGTTATATGGCAGAAGCCAAGAACTCGATGACAAAATTTTACTAGTTTGTGTACTAATTTTCTTGTTAGTTTCTTGATTCCTGTTATATATTCTTTATTTTTATTTTCTGTTAATCTGATTACATTTATGTAAAGAATTGCATCATGTCAAGTAGATTCTTTCTACTGAAAACTTAAGATGAAGTAGAAATCAACAAATCTTGGGAAAGGGGAATTATAGTCGACAAACTAGAGCATGTTTTTTCTATTTATTTTATGTCCTATCTTCCATATTTAATTCAATTGCAAGATTCTCATAGATGAACCATTTAAAAAACCATTTAAACATAACCAACAATAGCTATTAGGAAGTAAGAGACATTTTCTAAAATGTTTCAAAAAATACTCTTCATTGGCTTCTATGATGTTTCTAAAGGGTTTCTAAAATATATCTAGAAAAGATTAGTCTAAAGACAACTAAAATAAGTAGAGAATATATCTAAATAAGTCAATCGTTACACTAAGATAAGATAGTCTACATGACTACCTCTCTACCCACTCTTACAAAAAATGATCAATGTTTTTTGAAAAGATAATAAAGTCTTCCTATGTGCCATGTTTCTCATTTTATTTTACCTTTTCTAAAAGTAATTAAAATATTTTTATTATATTTTTTTATTAATAACTATAAAATTTATACAATAAATACGTTATTTAAACTAATAATTTATTTAAGTAATTTATATTCCAATTCTTAATTTTTTGGAATTATTATTCCTTCTAAAATCCCTTTAGATTCCAATTCTTAATTTTTAACATAAACTACTAAAAGGATGAAATCAGCATTTTAAAAAAATATAAGAATCCAATTGTAATGGACCAAACTTTAGAGGAAACAAAAAAAAAAAAAAAAAAAAAAAAAAAAAAAAAAAAAAAAAAAAACTTAGGAACATATCAATACACATTTAATTTCCATTATACCACCTGGACCATTTTGTATTTTGTAATTTACTTTTTAAATAGATTAAAAGAATATGAATCATCTTAATATTTTTGTAGGTTGAAGAAGAAATCTTCATGCGTGTGTTTTATGATCTTATGTAGGGGAGAGTATGGTTCGATTGTTTGCCAAAATCAAAACCGAACCAAAAAATTGAATTTTTTATTTTGGAAAAACCAAATCGTCGGTTTTTTCGGTTTTGATTTTTTCAATTTTTTGGGTTTATATCTTGGTTTTTTGGTTTTTTTTTTTTTTTGTTTGCGTTAATTCTTGTTTTTAGGTTTTTTCATTAACAAATTATTAAACTTAGCTCAATGGATTTTAAAAGTTCATTCTTGTTTAATATATATTCCAATACAAATATGCAATATTTCCCGTCCACTTAAACAAATGGAACTTACTGTTAAATAAATAAAAAAATTAGTGCCTATTTTTTATATGCGTGCAAATTATCTTTTCATTTGTAAAATAATCATCGTGGGATTGTAAAGTTAACTATTTTCTTTGTATCAAAAATATCTTTACTTTTGACTCTCACAATCAATATAAGATGTATATGATTTGAAACTTTTTTTAG